AAGAATATCACCCATAGTATTCGAATAGAAAAATTTTCAGTGATTAATTAAAAAAAAAAATTATACATTTTTTTTTGCACATACAGTGTATTTAATCCTTTAAATCAGTGACCTACATGTCTTTTATCATTAAAAGTATCTTACAGAAAAATATTAGTGCAAGAGAGTTTAGACGCAGATAACTCAAAAAAATCTTGCCACAGCATTATATAGGTTCACATCTTATTAAATTATGTTTTATTTCCAAATAACATCACATTTTGTTGTCTTGTCCGGACAATCATTTTAGGGTATTATCATTAGTAATAAAATTTTGTTCTATGATACAAAGTTTGTGGAAAACTCTTTATACTTTAGAACAGGGGTCTCCAACCTACGGCCCGCGGACAGATTTTGTCCGGCCCGCGGAGAGCTAGCATACTTGAAAACTCCTTTTAGAGAACATATTTTTTTATAGCAAATTAAATTTAGTTTACTGAAGTGTTCTAATTTTATGTTGAATAATTATTAATATGACATCTACATTGATATGGTCATGGGCTAACTACTCATAACATTGTTGTAGGCTTATTGTTATTGTTTTTGTGCTAAGTTGGATAAAGAAACACAGAATTGTAATGAGTAAAGACATGTATAATATTCAGAAAATTTAACTTCAGTATATAATAACTAACAAATTATTGAAATGAATCCAACTAACATTTTAAATAAAAACATAACTTATAACAAGCATAATGACACATGAAATACTAATGAGATTTATGTAATTGAGATTTTCCACTGACAATAGTTTATAGTTGTGGACTAATTTTACTTGTACCAATTATAAAAAGAGATTTAAGATGCTCATCAGTTAATTTAGATCTGTAAACATTTTTAGTGTACTTCATTTTGGAGAAGGTCTTCTCACACAAATAAGTAGTACCAAAAACAGAAAACAGCCCACGAGCAAATTTATGCAAATTATCAAATTGTGTCAGTGGAAGACTCTTATAAAATTCTAACAAAGATGAGTTTTGATATTTGTTCTTAATTATATCACTGCACTGTAGATCAATCATTTCCATTTGAAGTTCCGGGGCTAGGGTTTCAATGTCAGTATCAAAAGGATTCTGAAAAATCTTAATTTGATTCGCAATGGCATCAAAGTCCGAGAAACGAGTATCAAAATTTATTTTCAAAGCTCTCAAGGTTTCGATTGCAAAATCGATAGGAAACTCAGTCTCATTGGTGTGGCTGAATATTTCACATGTTTTAAAATGTGAAAAATATTTACTTTGTAGTTGTGATTGAAACAGTATCAATTTCTTCCGGAATGATTTGATATTAGTGTATAAATCAGGAAGATGCTGGTTTTCACCATGCAATCTCAAATTCAGTTCGTTCACATGTTTTGTCAAATCAGCATAGAATGCTAACTTCCACAGCCATGCGCTGTTTTGTAATTCAGTAAGAGGGCGATGCTTTTCATTCAAAAAAATTTCGATCACTGCTCGAAGTTCAAAAAAGCGCTGAAGGACTTTCCCACAACTAAGCCAACGTACGGCAGTATGATAAGGTAAGTCATTTTCTCCAATCTCTGCAATAAATTGTCGGAATTGTCGGTGATTCAGCCCAAAAGATCTGATAAAATTAACAGTTGATATGACTGGTTTCAGAACTTCAGACATATCCAAACATTTTCCGCACAAAGACTGTTGATGAATGATACAATGTAAGACTAATGGTTTTGAACCACCGTCATTTTCTACAGCCTTTGACACAAGAGCGACCACTCCTTTATCTTTCCCACTCATGTTTTTGCCTCCATCAGTTGTAATACATTTCAAGTTTTTCCATCGAAGGTTCTTTTGATTAATGGCCATTTCAACTCCTTTAAAAATATCTGTACCAGTAGTTGTGCCATGAATACTATACATATCAAGAAGTTCTTCATGCACTTCATAGCTTTTATCTACTCCTCGAATATAAATCAACACCTGAGCAGTATCTGACACATCCGTTGACTCATCCAAGGCCAAAGAAAACCACTCAACATGTCCATTTTTGTCGAACAGTTGAGAGGATATATTTTCAGCGATGTTTTCTACCCTTCGAGCCACAGTGTTTGCTGACATACTGACAGTTTTTAATAAATTTACCTTTTCAGGGCACATTTCTTCGGCTACTGCAATTATGCATTCTTTGATCATTTCTCCATCGGTGAATGGTTTTCCACGTTTTGCAATTTCAAGAGCCACACGAAAGCTGGCACGAGTTGCAGCCTCTTGTTCAGTTTTGAGTTTTGTAAATGAAGATTGCTGCGATTTCAATCCGCGCTTCATAGCTTCGAATTTTTCTGTCCGCAAACTTCCTGTATATTTTGAGTAATTTTGAAAATGTTTTGTTTCATAATGACGTTTAATGTTATATTCTTTGAGAACGGCTATGCTTTCATTGCAAATCAAACATAGCGCCTTGTTACTGGACTCAATTACGAAATACTGAATGTTCCACTGATCTTTGAATTTTCTGCATTCACTATCAATTTTTCGCTTCTTTTCCATACTACTAAATCACACACAAAAGCAACAATTCAAATCAAAATACTGTTACAAAGATGTCTTAAACTTAAACACGCACAAACACGTTTTAAGGTGGTACGCACTATTTTATTTCACAACAGTGTCATAGGAAATGACTTGTGGTTGCGCCACTAGACTTCTTATATATTCCAAATACTGCCATCTAGAAGTGAGTGGAAGACACCAGAACTTTCTCGAACCAACGAGATTATTCTGTATGTGCTATTAGCGCCATCTGTTAGCGATAGAAGGTACTACCTATTTCCGCTTGTGTCCACCAGATGTCGTGTCACGTTACTCCTCATGGCTCATACTCTACGACTAATCTAGAAATTACAGATAATGACAGGAAAATTAATAATATGCAGTGTTGCTGTTTTGCGGACTTTAGTCCGATTTGTAGCCTTTTTTAAACGTTGTGTACTTTTTCGGACTTTTTTTTTCATCAGTGGACTATTTCACTTTTTACCACCGGCAACAATGATAATATGGTTTTGGCTGGAACATACTGGAGTAATCAGTATGGCCCTAAGGCTGGAAAGTTTGGAGACCCCTGCTTTAGAACATTTAATAAAAAAAAGTACAAAAGTTGCATAAAACTTTGCTACAAACTTTTACACTTTCAAGATATACTAATTGAACTCTTTTCATAAGTTGCCAAAAATACAATTCCAAGCAAAACTATGAAATAAAAATTTTAAATGATTTCTGCGCAGTAGTCAAGAATTACTTTAAATACTCATATCTTGCACAATTTTTAAAACATATTTTTGTTATTATTTTATTATAATTTTAAATATATATTATTTACTATTATAATAAAAATTATTCTAAAAATTTTGTTTAATTTTATTAAATATTTTTGCAATTATATAGTAAGAAAATATAAGTAAAAAAAAAAATTAGACTTTAATAAAAATGTACATATTTCATGAATACTTGAGCTAGATTTATGAATTTCATATGATGAATCAGTTATTTCATATGAGAATTGACATAAGTTGGAAACTTATCACAGTATTTTTTGGCACAGAATATTTAATAACATTTATTTATTTATTTTGTAATTTATTGACTGTCCCTTAAAGCTTTATTGATATGTATGAGAAATCGCATGACTAAAACTCTTTTAAAATAATTATCTAAGTATTTCTTGAAAATTGTGAAAAAATGAATTGGTACAGAAGTGTTTCCATTATTTTGTCTGATCCCTGTACATTACTATGATGAACTAATTCAGTGAAACCTCAAAAAAAAAAAAAAAAAAAAAAAAAAAAAAAAAAAAAAAAAAAAAAAAAAAAAAAAAAAAACACACATCTGTGTAGCGACTTCCTCTATTTACGACCACTTTTAGAAGACAAAGAATTTTTTTCACAGACTTTGCTTTGTGTTGAAGAGACCATCGAAATCCTGTCCAGCAACCGAGCATACTTCCGCACCAAATGGGATTAATGTCAAATAAAAAAACTATGAAAACAACAAATACAGTCAAACCCCGCTATAGTGAACACAACTCCCGGATATAGTGAACAAAATGCTTGCTACACACGTATAATGTTATTTATTGTGGAACCAAAACAAGAGAGGAAATTGGATAGTATGAATTTTTTTCTGTCTTCAACAGATTTATTTTCCTTCATTTTTTTGTAATAATTTTGAAATTTCTATTCTATTATTTTTCAGTCAACTATTAGCACACGCTGCACCCACTTCGAAAACAGCTTTCTCATAAACAAATGTTCGTGCAAAATAAAGCCTGCACGCTCTTTTAAAATATTTACAGTATCAGCTATGTCATGTAACTTCACTTTGCGGTTTTCTATAACTATTTTGTGGACTTTTATTATGTTTTCCGGATTAACCACATCTTTAGGGCGTCCAGACTGTGGCGCATCTTCAACATTTGTTCAACCACGTTTAAAATCAGCAAACCAGTCAATAATGGTCGAATTTCCTGGTGAGGAACCCGGATAACACTTATCGAGCCAAGCTTTAGTTTCTACCGTGTTTTTTCCCATTAAATAACAATGTTTAATAAGAAAGCAAAATTCTTTTTTATCCATTGTTTTAATAATATAAATTGGTGTTCGATTAAAATCACTGTAACTTTAAAATCAATCGGCAGATCGTTATAAATTTCGACACCTTTTATTTGAAGGTTAGGACTTGCTAAACAAAATACTAATTCTGCATTTAGGGCACCATTTGTATGTCAGACCGGAAACTTATCAGCCGATGTGTTATTAGCATAAAAATGAGCATTTTAAAAGAAAAACAAATTATTAAAAATAAATTATTTGATTTGAGGACTTATTTTTAAAATATCACAATAGAGAAAAAAAATGTATAACAAAAATTTTTCCCATTAACAAAAATGCTGTAATTTAAAAAACAACTCTATAAAAATAAATAAATAAATACTGATCTGTAATGTACTTTATTGCATGTTAAGAGGTCCATAAATTTATCTGGGCGAGTAACCTGTCTTTCTTGAATGACTGGAACTTCTGAATAACCTGCTTCCAAGAATATTTTTTGTAAGCCTAAATTGTAACCCTAAAAATGAAAAATTGATATTTTCAAACTAGTCAGAATTAGGACAATTAGATTAAATAATATGCTATTCTCATAAATGCTTTGTCCACTGATGCTAATTATGTAAGAACATTTTAGTGGGGAAAAAATGCAAACTTTTTAATTTTTTAGAGGATCATTTTTCAAAGTGGTAATAAAATGAAAATTAAATTACAATAATAGGCATCAATATACTTTTTTTATTTCAAAAGAGGTTCATATTAAAATCGTATTGTTACATATGTTTGATTTATTTAGATGCAATGGTGATCAAAACCAATGTAGATTATATTTATAAATCTAAGAAATAAATGGAAAGCATAAATTTTTAACATAAAAATTAAATCTTAGGCAAAATGCATAAAAATTTGCAGTTAAGGAAACACGATCAAATTTTTTTAATATTTAAAAAAGTGACTGCATTGTTTGGATACATAAAAATAAGCCAAAATTGAAAATTATTCAATGATTTCTTTTTAATGAAGATTATTAATAAGATTATATACAATAGTTGAAGAAATTCATTACAAAAATCAATGAATCATGAAGGATAAGAAAAAAAATTTCGAAATTCTTAAAAAAGGTTTATTTGTCTCAGCTATTTGCTCATTTTAAAGTTTTAAAAAAATTACAGAAATATAGTGTAATTAAGCAACAGATTCCTGTACTACAGAATCACACAATGAACTTTTAAAGATGTAATACTTCTAATGATATTGATTCTTTCGAAATCTGTTGATCAGCCATCAAAATGAAAAATATAATAAATCTGTAATTAATTAATAAATAAGAGCACAATTTATTTGAGGTGCATCAAATCCTGATATACATGAAATAATTTCACAGCAATCAGATTTAACATTTGATATAACTGTAGAGATTGCTTTAAGCCATTGAAGCTTAAAAATAAAAACATTTAAAAAATTGTTACCAAATTGTTTGATTTATAATATTGACAGAAAAAAAATTTAAATATTCATTTTCTAGTACTTATGTTAAATCAAAACTACAGATCAAGTAGTTCAATAAAGTTTCTTTGTGGCAAATAAAATCAAGAACAGAACTGTCATTTCTGCTTTAAGCTCTCAATATTTGCATATCAACACTTTTAAAGGAGAACAATGAGATAAAATATTATATATTATAAAATATTATTTCTAATAATTCTTTCGTTAATGCTGAGAATTTGTGCTTTTATTAATTTAAATAATACACTGTGTCCTAAAATAAGTTGACTGTTTTCAAAAATTCTTAACAAGAAAACAGTTATGGTAAAAAAAAGAAAAAAAAATCCTGCAACAAACTTATGTGGCAAGACAATTCTATAAGAGATGAAGATGCAAGTTTTTCTACAATTTTTTCCAGTGCACTTCAATGTAAGGTAATTTTGTCTTACAATTACAACATGTACATTTCAACATGTACAAGATTAGGTAAGATTTTCAAATGTACCGGTTTACTACTTGCAGCCCAGTCAAACACACAGGAACTCATAGAGAGAAAAAAATAATGCTCTATTACATAAATTTGCTACAGGACTTTATATTATTTTTCTTAAACTTAGAGTGCATGCACGTTTCAATAATAAATTCAATCAGTAAGTTTAGTCTGTATATTTAGTTTATTTAATTAAAGAAAGTGCAACAGGTAGAGATTAAACTCGAAATTAAAACATTCATTTAATGGAATGAAGTGAATCCTTACCAGTAAAAAAAATTCGCTTACATATAACATTTAAATTCAGTAGATAAAATTGTAAAGATTACTTTGATGGGGGTGAATTAAAATTATACACGGTCACTCAAGTTCTGTGATGATAAAAAACTGGTCTACACGAAGAAGAAATTAACATTGACAAATAATAAGATACATTAGCGGCTGACTAAACGATCATATAGATTTTGTCATAGTGCCAAAACCTACAATTAGACTATGCACAGAATATAAATAAACTGTGCATTATTCCATCAAATGAATCGTATGCCACAAATAGAGAACAGAAAAGTATAGGATGGTTCATTTTTTTTCCTTTCATATTTATGAACTCTACTGACAAGCATATGAAGAAAGCTCAAAAATACCAACTCATATAAATACATATTTAGTCAAATTTTCTGAATAAACCTTTAACCAAGGTTTTTAAAAAATAGATATTGGTTTGATTGTTCTCAGGAAAACTTTATTATCTCTTGAATAGAAAAAACATTCTGTTAAAATATACTGCTGCCCTGTGGCAGAATTTTTTCGGGATTTCTGCGACAAACAGTATCTTTTTGAAAGATACTTTTAATAATAACAAATATACTAACTTAAAGTAACAAAAGCGTTAACTTCAGAAGAAAAAATAAGAACAAAAAAAGTAGTGTAATTTTTAGAGCTAAATATGTAAAAAATTTTTATTCTACTATTTTGAGCGATATTCTCACAATTTGTAAGGGGAAAACACTTAAATTATTTCCTTTTCTTTCTTCGTAACTCATCATCAAATTTAAAAACAAATTTAATGTCAGCTCCACAGCAGTAACTACCGAAAAAATAAGTTCGACACCGCAATCGAACTCTTTACAGGGTATCAGCACATTTTAGATTTCCAAATTCATGACTTTTCATGACTCATTCCAAGAATTTTTCATGACTTAACGAAGTTACTATTTTCTCCAACAAAAACACAACAATAAATTTAAAAACGCATTATAATAACATTAATTGAAATAATAGGTATAACCAAAACTGTTATACTCTGCATCTTCATATTAAAAGATTTTAAATTTAAAAAACAGAGTAAAGAAAGAGTTGAAGTAATAAATAGCTGAAAAAAATACAAAAGCAAATAATTTTTGTTCTTTTCTTCTGCAGAATTATATTCTAAAGATACTTTTCTTGTTCATTGGAAAGAAAAGAAATACTCCTGATTTTTCTGTTCTTATTTCGGAATAAAAAAACTTTGCCAATGACTGGCTTGCTTCAGCTGGAATTTTAAGTTAATAAAAATAAAAATAATTACAAAAATTCTGAAATCACAGAAGTTTAAAAGATAATTCATTCTAAAAATTATGTTTTTTCTTTCATTTTTTAAAAGAACACTATAATTTTTAAAGAACACGATAAAAACAATACCCTGTCTTTAAAAAGAAGGATTACGAATGTGTGTTTTCATTTCAAGATTCAGCTGCTGTAACAAATAATATCAGATTAAAAATACCGGATTTTAAAAACTATATGGACATTGATAGCAATAACTGCCAAAAAAATAATAATAAATAAAAAGGAACGAATATTTTAGCAGAGAAGATAACCAAACTTTTGACTTCTCAAATGAAAATAGAAAAATTACAAGTCTTTTTTTCAACTTTGATGTGCAAGAACAGCTACGATTCTGCCACGGGAAGTTTGAAAAACTTTTGTTTATCACACCAGATAACAGAATGTGCTTTAAAATCACTAAAAATCACTTCCACAGTTTACACAGGTGGTATTTGCATACTTTAAAAGCTCATAAAAAAAAAGCAGCTTCAATAATTTTTTTGAAAAATAGGTCTTGATGTTATTTTGAAAATTAAGAGAACACTCTTCAGGTATAAAAAAGTTGCGATGATGTTAAAGATATAAATTGAATGAAACTAACTTTTAAGGTCAAATCACCAGAAATGAATGTAGAGTATAGTTTGTCCCACTCTTTTTTTAAATGAACATCCAATCTAGGGTAGACCAACAGCGCATCCTCATGGCAAACATATCGAGTGCTGAAAACTGCAGAGTATTCGCATCGGCTAGGCTCTGTTACGTTGAGTAGTTCTTCTTTAGGCCCACATTTTAGTCTGACCTGCGGGAAAGACATGTAGATTATTGCAGTAAAGCCTTGCTACAGTTCACTATAAATGGTAGTTTAATAACCAATTTCTTTTGATAAAATACTCTTCAGCATAAGACAATAGCATTTGGAGATCAAAGATAAATCGGTAGTCACTATGGAGAAATCTTCAGAGGAAGGCATTGGCCCACATTGGGCTGTCTGGCCAACTATGATAACGACAATAGCATTATTAGAAACAGTAATTACAATTGCACATAGTTTTTTATACATTATTAAATAAACACTAAATAAAACGTTAAAAACGAAAAATGAATCCACTGACTTATATATTCTATGCATTACATAAATTTTTATATTCATCTCCATAAAATTTTATTGATTTATTTTTTTATATGCGTCGTTGAACAGCCAACCCAATTTTTGGGTTTACGACTACTAATGTTCAACTCCGTAGCTTTGTAATTTTGAACCAATTCAGAAGACAAGGAAACTCCTGGATCCACCTTGATCTGAATACCCTTGGAGGTATTGATTTGTTATGGGAACAAGGAGGACTTTGCGACTCGACATATTTAATGTGCACCAGTCACCATTTACTACACGGGAAGTCTTTGGCCAGCTGGGATCAAACCCACGAACTCTTGGACACGGGTCCAGTGTCTTACGAATCAGGCTATTCCGGCCTACCATAAAAAATTTTATGTTTTTTTTTCCCAATGCCCAACTGAGTTGACATTTCGTCAATTCAGACGTATATGGGGCAGATTTGTTGGCTACTCTTTCAGGAACACGCTATTAGGTGGGCCAAGGTTGCCTCTACAGTAAGGACAGATAGTACAGAGAATGAAAAAACATCCATGCCTTGACTGGGATTCGAGCCCAGAACCTTTCTGATGCAAGGTCAATTCCCCGACCTCTACATAGTCCGGTCTGCAAATATTTTACAATTTGAAATTGTTAGTTAAATTTTCTTTGCATAAAATGATTGAACTCCCAAAAAGTTTGAAACATGCAGCAAGGCCTGAGCCCTGTTAATAATTAGTGGATGCTTTTTCAAATTAGAGCTATCAAATTTTTCACAATTGAAAATTTAAAAACAAGATATATTGGATAAAAATTTGAATCCTTTAATTCTTCAAATGAATTACAGTCGGACTTCTATATAACGAACTTTCATATTGCGAATTTTTTTGAGGAACCAAGAATATTTTGGAACGAACTTTTCTTCGAGATCCACTTTCCCTATTACCCAAAATATTCCAGAACATTTTAAACTTGTTAATGCATTGAAGGGGGAAATAATCTTGAATTTAGTAGCAATTAAACTTTGGAACACATGTGGCAATGTATGCTTAAAATTACTTTTATAATAAATGCAGCTATAATTTTTTGCATAAATTTAGCTTTTTTTAGTTGAAAATGCATGTGGCATGATTGTATAACACTGGATAATGTTTTGCTCTATTAAGATTTATAAAATAAATAGTAGATACTAGTTGACAAGATAAAGGTGTATCAATTGCTATTTTAGTTATGTCTAGTGCTCATGAATTTAAAACCTGTTTTGTGTTGCTTAAGTATTTCAAAAGATGATTTTCTATTTAACGAATTTTCCATATAACGAACTCATTATCGGGATGTAGCGACTTTGTTAAATAGAGGTCAGACTGTATATTAAAAACCGCATTTGTATTTGCAGATGTTCTGAACGCACACAAAAAAAATAGGAACATCGGGACAAGTAGCTAAATATCAAATCGGGACGAATTATTTTAGGAAGACCATGATCTCTGTTTCCTTAGAGCAGCCAACTACCGCGCTTTTTGCAAAATATTTTATAAAGTGGTTGACAATTAAGAACAAACAGCTTTCAATATATTAGTCTGACCATTTTTCTTCACCAACTGGAGAAAACTGGAGTTTTTTTATAAGAAACTTTCTTTCATATCATTCACGTGTAGTGGGTATGAAAGATAATTTAAAATTAAATATACACAAACATGAAATTTTCAACCATTAGCGGGAGTGATTGTGAACCCAACTTAATGCCCAATTTCTCGAGTAAAATCATTAATGACACATTTCGAAAAAATTAATGTCTCCATAATTTTAAATATTTTCAAAACATGAAATTCTAAATAAATTATATGCACCATAATTTAAATGAACAATTATGTATAAGTTTACTCTTATCTCTAATCACATTTATTATTCTAAAAGAAAAAAAATATTTACAAATGAGAGAGATGCCAAGTATAAATTCTAGTTCCAATATTTCTAAATAAAATATATAAGAATTTTTAGACATAAATGTGAATTCTTGAAACTTCTAAGCCTTGGATTCAAATTTTTTCCGGAATACAATCATCTGTGCATTAGAAAAAAAGTTTCCCACAAAACATAGAAAGCCCTGTATATTATTCACCTTGATAGAACGATTGATGGCACCGCATTGATCTCCATGCTTGAAAATCATCTCAGAGAAGGTGTTGTTCTCTATCTTCCAATGACTCCACACACTGTAAAATTTTAATCATTTACAAGAATAAAAAAACACATTAATAAACTCTAAACAAGTTTTACTGTAAATTGAGTGTTGATATTAATAATCCCTGGCTGTTAATATTAACAACCAAATCAGTTAATAATTGTAGAGAGCTATTATTAATAATAGCCCAGATTCATTACTTTAATCATAACATACACAGAATATATTTTACTTAAGCAAATGCATGAGTAGTTTCAAATTTTATACAATTAAATCTAATCTAAATTTGTTGATATCCAATCTAAATCTAATGTAATCTACATTAATTAAATTAAATCTAAATTTGTGGAATGGTATTAAAATGCATGAAATTTAGATTTCAAAAATTATCACTCATCTAAGGATAAGATGATATGCATAAAAACTTTTAAAACTATTATTTCAAATTAAAACATTCAGTACCTTTCCATATTAGTAGAGGTACTATAAGATTCTATGCACACCCTTTCGCCCAACTTTGCTTTCACAATTTAAATATGATGAGAAACATCGAGATTAAATCAGATGAGAGGATATAATAAAACTTTGGTTAAGATTTATTTGCCAGTCAATAATATTTTACATCAGATTGAACAAAGTATAAAAAGCAGATGTTTAATTAAAAAATAGTCCTTAAAAAAAAGTAACACTACTTTTCTAAACAGGTTTTAAGAAAAAAAATCCACAAAAAAGTTGTGATTACGATCACTGGTTACCCGTTGGTCAAATGAGTTTTCTTTCTGGATGGACTCCGTTAAACACCACACCATTTCTAATCATGGGTTGCAAAAACTCTCCATTGATGTTTGTCGTCGGATTGATTTACATATCCTGCCTATGCACATGTTTCACAAAACACTTTTCCTTCTTCAGCACTCATATTTATATTGAAATCACAGTCAAGAGAGTCATTATACGTTAATAATTAAAAGAATATAAAAATACTTTAAATTATTATTACGTAAATACATTAAACATGCCTGATAGTGAAAAATAAAACAGCAACGCATGTGCACTGGTTACTATTACTCTTGAACACAGTGTGTGGATGCCATCAAATCCAAAACAAGACACATTTTGTCAATGGGTAAAAAAACACAAAATTATTTTCTGATGTTGTCAAAGAGACAATAAATGAAGATATGTTGAAGATGATGATGGCAAAGAGACAATAAATGAAGATAGACATGAAGATATGTTGAAAAATAAAGAATGAATATGAAATAGAAATGAAGATATGTTGAAGATGATGATGGCAAAGAGACAACAAATGAAGATAGACATGAAGATATGTTGAAAAATGAATATGAAATAGAAATGAAGATATGTTGAAGATGATGATGGCAAAGAGACAATAAATGAAGATAGATAAACAAAACTTACCCTAAAATCCCTTGATATGCATTCCATCTGGTGGAAACTTCATATTGAGTCACATTCTGAAAAGGGCAAAATATGTACCGATACCTAAAAAATTTATTTTATGCTCAGTACTTAACAAATAAAGGAACAGTTTTTAAAAAGAAAATAAGTAACGTGTGGGGAGAGTCAACCTTAATCTACGAAAAGGTAACCCCACCATAGAATCGAGTTAACATGTCTTATATACTAGGCAATTGTATTATTGTAATGGTAGATACATTACAGTACTCCCCCACCAGAATTGTAGCTCTGACAGAATTTGATGAATGGATACCACTAGTTTATTCATTGTTGTTTTGTGAGAAGCCGGAACAGTTTTATTTAGATAACCACACTTTCTGAGTTTCGATCATGAGAGCTGTATTAAGTTGACGGTCATGGTCGCTCCTGTGTCCCCTTTAGCAGCCGAGACTAAGAGGCAACAGCCTGAGGAGGACAATGTTGCAGTCACAAGTCAATGTGGATATTCCATCGAAATGGGCATGTTCAGATCGAACTGGGCGTTACTGTCAAGGTAGACACGTTCACATCACGTCCGAAGGTCACCCATGTGGGGTTAGCTGTTATCGACACTGTCGACCTTCATCTATGAAAAGGTACCCCACCACAGAATCGAGTTAACATGTCTTATATACTAGTGAATTGGAATTACAATTTTGTAGTGGTAGATACACAACAACACTTTCAATCTGTATAATGGAACCAGAACATGGATAACAGTGACACAGCAGTCCCTTTGACTCTCCAAAAGGACCACCTAACATAATACCTGTCTTGGACTGAGGATTCTCTTCAGTGACGATTCAGTCTGGATGTATTCTCATGTGGAGAGATCCCAAAAAATCAATGTCATACTCCCTGAGGCAGAATTTGTTCATTCTTTCTGCGACAAACTTCCCTACGACTAATATTTTGCTTTTTCGTCGCCACAATTTTGCCACGGGGATCATACCTTTTTCACGTTCTCGAAAATGACCACTATGGTTAAGGTGTTCAGATGGTCTAGGTAAGCAACGTAGGCATACCGACCTTCACATGTTCAAAAGAGATGACTCGGACAGGTCTACACAACAGGGACAAGATCCCCAAATTTCATCTTTATGGATGATAACACCTCTCCACATAGACCTCAATTTCTAGACGAATAATTACAATTAGAGGATATTCAACAATTGCTGTGGCCTTCAATATCCCCATCAAACACATATAGGACACCCTGGACCACTCAACCGCAGCCTAAGTAGCAACTCAAATGACCCTCAAAGAGCTCAAGAGTGAGTGCGGTTGCCACATGGTTTTCAGGGTATACAGGTTGTACTCATTTTTGTTTATCCATATATTGGTCTTATTGGTTATTTTGGACAGGTTAGGTTTTATTTGCTTTGTTAGCTTTTTTTTATTGCAAAAAAAAGTAAATAAATAAAAAAAACATCTGTCCCTTCAATTGTTTTCACTAGGTATTTATGACAGTCCCAAATTTAAATCAGTGACAACAAACAAATTTAATATACCATTTTTGTTCCACTAGCGCATTCCTAATTTATCTAGATTTTTCTGTTTGACTTATTTGTTTAAAACAAAGCAACTTAGCTAAAGAAAATAGTTAACCGGTTTATTAAAAAATTAATATTATGACATGAGATATAAAAATTAACAAGAAGTAGATCTTGTGCTTACTTAGAGGTTTGGATTCTAATAAACGTTCACTAACAATCTGTATAAGTTATTTCATAAATAAGCACAGAATTTGGCACAAGTAAGAACTTTGTCTGCTTAATAGCCACAGACACGCCAAAGACAGGGTATCTGCTACATTTTAGATTTACAAATTCATGATTTTCCATGAATAATTCCAAGAATTTTTCATGACTTAACAAAGTTACTATTTTCTCGACAATAACACAACAATAAATTTAAAGAAGCATTATAATAACATTAATTGAAATTATATATTTAACCAAAACTGATATACTATGCATCTTCATATTTATAGATTTTAAATTTAAAAAACAGAGAAAAGAAAGAGTTGAAACAATTAAATAGCTGAAAAAAATACAAAAGCAATGAAATTTTTTTTCTGCAGAATTTTATTCTAAAGATACTTTTCCTGTTCTACGGAAAGGAAAGAAATACTCCTGATTTTCCTGTTTTCATTTTGGAATGAAAAAAATTCGCCAATCACTGGTTTGCTTCAGCTAGAATTTCAAATTAATAAAAATTCTTAAATCACAGAAGTTTAAAAGATATCTCTAGAAATGTTTTTTCTTTCATTTTTTGAAAGAACACCATAATTTATAAAGAATATGATTAAAACATTTTATATTCTAATAAAATATGACTGTAAGTGATGATTTCGTTATGAATTCAGATGTTCGAAACAAGAAAAAAAATTGAGGGAGGGGGATTCCACTTAAAAAATTAGATTTTTCTGCAATATAAAACCATGACTTTCCATTTGACATTTTTTTAAAAAAATAGTTAAAATCGTAACAGTACAGAAATTCATGATTTTCATGACTTTCCAAGTGCGCGGATACCCTACAAAGAGTTGCGAGGACAGCAAGCAACGTCACTCGCATGCACTTAATGATAGCGAGAGAGAGAGATCAAGCGTTTAGGGCACACACATGCTTTCATTACATCAATTTACTTTCAATCAATAACTTTTCATAAATATTAATAACTAATACAATATATTATTATTAATAAATTGCAGCAAACAGTATTTATCTTGAATTGCAGAAAGAATAATTTGGAATTTGAAATATTCGGATGATAGAAATTTACAGAAAACAAGGACAGAAATAAAAAAGGAAAAAAAAATTAAAAAAAGAAGAAAAATAAAACTTTTTCAAATAATTAAAAATGAACCTATATTAGAAAAAAATACCCAAAAAGATATAATCTTGTCATTCGCTGAAATGAGAATATCCGCAAAAATAGTGCTTTTTAATGCTGTATAATGAATAGAGCTTTTGAATATAGAGAAAGCAAAATCTATCAATGCGCTGTAAAGAGCACTAGAGTGGAGGGAAAAGAAACCAATTTGAAAATGAAGTTTTATCTAGAAGAAATTACAAAAATGGGCACTTTTCCATCAGCTGTGCACAAATGTTGCCATATTTGTTAATAGTAAGCAAAACAAGTTCAACTATAAACAAATTTTATTGAATTGTAAATGAAACAGTTTTACCCCAAAAGAATGTTACTAAGGGGTTACTAGGTTTTACTGAGAGCAGTGTTTTCATCGCAGAGAAAAAATGGGTGAGAATTTCTCACCCTTTCTCAAAAACAGGGTGAGATTTCAAAAAGTTAAGTGAGATTTCTAAAAATTAAAAAACAAAAACGTAAAGAGACATGAAAAAAAATCATTTCTTTAATTATAATACATTTTTAATATCTTCTAATTTTTAAAGCATTGAATATTTTTGCTGCATCATCATATGGAAAATGTTCTATATCTACTTTTTCATCAGCTATTCTAATTAGGTAACTCAAATGCGTATTTGTTTCGTTTTGATCGTTTCTACCCACATTTGTTTCATTTTCATTTGTCCGTTTCGGAGTAGAAGATATTGCCTTTACAAGGTATTTGTCCATCTTGCATTAATGCTCAAAAAATTTGAACGTCTTACATGAAGAAACCTTACCTACAGTAAACACGTGGTTGCAGAGAAATGCGTTCTGAAAGAGGTTCGGAGGGATGGTGTTCTGTAGTTCTTAAAGATTCTGAACAATGCTGGTAAACAGGGAAGCTAGATAATGGGGCAGATGTTGAAAATAACGAAAGATCCAGGAAGAAAAGTGAAACGGATTTCTTTCTAATTGGCGCAATGAAAAATTTTTTTCAAAATGCGAGATTCGCGAATTTTGAGAAATTCGCGAATTTTGAAATTGGTTTATAGAATGCGCGAATTTCTCGCGGTAATCATTTTTTAATGCGAGAAAAGAAAAAAATATGCGAGATTCTCGCGTTCTCACGCTACAGTGAAAACACTGGAGAGGTACCTCCCAGTAAACACACACCTCATGGCAAACGTAAGGCCGTAAGCTGGCATTCTAGGTAAGATAACGGCAAAAGGGAAGTACAATAGGATCCTTTATCGTTTGTATTGAGGCATTTCAGGAAGAGGCGGAATAACTCTTCACTTATACAGGTCCGAAAAATAAAACGGTTGTTTGGTCTCTTACACTTAACTAGTTACAGGACCTTTATTGTATATTGTTAATTAATTGTAATGCTACAATAGATTATTAATAAGGAATAGATGCAGAGTTGGTAAAAAATGCGCTTTTAACTTAAAAATTTGAAAAAATCAGGAGAGAAGGGAAAAAAATCCTAAAACCATTAACCGTATTTTTTGAGAGGAAAAAATTTATTATTTTATTTTTCTCTGAAAACTGCTAATTTTTTACATAGAATATTAAAAACTAGAATTTTATTATTTTACTATAATCTAAATATACTTACTGTAGCATTACCTATTATATTTTTTAAAAAAATAATTTTATTAAAAAATAATTATTTTAAATTTTATTACAATTTTTAAATAAATATATCTAATTATTTTTTTTCTATTTTTTCTTTTTGAAATCATTTTCTAAAGTATAATTTTTAACTCGAAATATAATATATTCTTACTTTCTAGAAAAATTTAATACATATTCCCTTAAAAATAAGAATAAATATTAACAATTCCTTTGTTCATTGAGAAAAAGGTTTTATTTTTTCGATTGCTTATTATAAAATTCTGTTAAATTTATTGTATTAAACATGTACTTAAGAAAGATTTATTGAATTGAATACTTATTGAAGACATTTTCTTATTGAAGACTTATTATTATTTTTTTTTATTGAATAAGGGATACATTTATTTTTAATGTTAAAGGATTCAACAAGAAATCTATCATTTTTATAATTCATGGTAAAAAAAAAATCTAGCAGTAATTTTATATGATAGCAGTAAAAGGCTAAATGTCCGTTATTGTCTGTATTTTGGCATTTTAGGAAGAAGCGATATGGAAACTTTTCCCATTGGTTCTGT